ACAAAATCGCTATTTGTTTCAACTTCAGAATCTCCTGCAACTCTTCTGGGTGGTCTTCTTGTTTAAGTTAATGAATGCTGCCATCATCCTTGCCTACTGTTCATTAATAGGAGTTTTGTTGATCTCTCGTTCAAATGAGTCCCATATGGTGGGTGCCGTCTGGGAAGTTAGGTAGCCAGTTGTAAGGGATGATATTGTCGCAAAAATTATTTGACAGTTTGTGTGTCATTGTGCAGAGTCCTGTTGCCAGATATATGCACTTCCAGCAGCCACCTTCTTGAATCAAGATTGTACTACCTCTCCAAGGCACAAGATGTATGTGTCTGTGTTGAATCTGAGGTCCTCACCAACAAATTCGGTAGTTCTTTTCTTATCAGAACGATAAAAATGAGTCATCCGAGCTGTCATAGCTTCGTGATCACCATTAGACTCATCCAACTCTTTCCGAATCCCCTACACTGTCCTCAGATTGACACCCAAACCCACTGAAACATTCATATTGGAGGTTTCGGCGCGAATGCCAAGCAGTACAGCACGCCGTATCCAAATTTTTGTCGGAGTGAATTACGCCAAGATGCTCTTTCTGTCACAACTGACGCTCCTATACTGTGCAGTTGACAAATCAGAAACAATGCGCACGTGCGAAATTAATAAAAGAAAATGTTGACAATTTACCCGTTTCACCCTGTATGTATATGTATATATATATATATATATATATATATATAATTACACATAATAATACACTATACATTATAATACACACGCAGAAAAAAAAAAAATTGGATTTTAAAATTAAATACACATAAACTAGGGTTAAATAAAGACTTAGGTATTTTAAATCTTGATAAATATTTCAATAGTTAAGCAATTTTTTTTGATATAGTTAAATTTTTTTTTATTTTTTTAAACAACATCTAAAATACTTATTACAGTTAGATTTAAGTTAGGAATATTCGAACACAGTGACGTTCCATATCACGTGACGTCCGCGTCTCGCGACGGACGCTACTTGCTAACAAACAGTAATTTTAATTCATTTGTAACAAACAGTTATTTCTGATGAAAGATTGAGGACAATCTGAAATATCAAATATATATATAAATAAATAAATACTTTCATAAAATATAACATTATTATTTTTTTTTAATTTGCAACTTTTTTTATATATATATATATTTATTAAAGACATTTTTATTTATGTTTAACGTTGTTATTTTATAGATACAAGTATTTAAGCAAATGCTCTGTTTATGATAAACAGTATTAAATAACATTTACCGGCCTGAATGTCCGAGAAATTTTCATAGAAAATATTCGTTCACAGACAGGATTCGAACCTGCATCCTATACGGAACCGTCATATACGCTGACGTGCCTTGACCACTCGGCCACCATGAACCTTATGGTAGACAAGGTCGAATTTACTGTTATAAACTACAATCTTCCATGAATCTCGTACATTCATAACTGCTCTGGCGTATCGAATGTAAACAAATGACGTCATATGTTAAGAAAATTTCTCGGACATTCAGGCCGGTAAATGTTATTTAATACTGTTTATCATAAACAGAGCATTTGCTTAAATACTTGTATCTATAAAATAACAACGTTAAACATAAATAAAAATGTCTTTAATAAATAAATTGTCGGACCTCGTCCATTTCTTAACATATATATATATATATATATATATATATATATATATATATAAATTTAAAATAGGATAAATGCAGGTAGATCTCAATGTCCATGAACCTAAAGACCCAGGCAATAATTACTTATATTTATATTATTATATTTATATATATATATATATATATATAGTTTCCCTAGATTCAGTAACTATCACTATTGTAATGATTTCGTTCACTGCAAAGTAACCATCTAGACCAGTATATTCTTAGTAAATAATTACATAACTGTTTATATAGGAATAAGTGAATAGCGAATAAGGAATATAATCGAATAATATGCATTATAACCTCCCAGACTTTCATGTGTCACTTCTAAAATAAATGCATAAAAACGTCTGAATATCAAGCTTCAGACTTAAAGTGCTTTTGACAGCGACTATAATGAAGTGTACCTCCTTTGTTGTGTTTAAGAGAGTCTGTCTTTTAAAAAAAAATGGCTTAGCTTCAAGAAAATAAATAAGTCTAAATAATACCGAACATATGGCAGAAAATTATCCATGTTCTTTTTTTCTTCCATTTTTTTTTTTTGGTGGATAAGTGCCTGCTAAAGAAAGTTTCTCTTTAAGTCAGGTGCTGATGTAAACTCTACCCAGAAAATAACTTTCTTTTTTTTTTTTTACCTGGCTTCCATTGATAGCTACCACGAGTCTCTGACAGACCACTAGCAACGAAACTGAATTTCGGCTTTAGGACAAACTAAGATGTTTTTTTTTTAAATGCTTAATGGGAGCCTCGTCTTTCTTAATAATACGTTTTTATATTATCTCTTTCATTGTTCTCTTTGGGCGTGCACAATGTTTTGTAACGTCGCGTAACTAAGCAATTGCTATTATAACTTATCAAGTCAATTGTGCGCCATGCGTGATACATGCTTAGGTGAGCATGTATCTTCTGGTACATGACTGACGAGGCAGATTTTTTCCCGCAGTAAGTTGCCATTTCTTTCTACGGTTGCCATCCAAGTCTATAGAACCCGGTCTGTCCTGCTATTTACCCATAGCTGGGGGAAGAAGAAAATTATTCATACCTTTCCCAAGGGTATTAGCACGTAAGTGAATGTAATGGATTCAACTGGAATTCGAACTCGGCTCTCCGATTCCTCAATCCAAGATCATAACTGACTGAAGCAATGCCATCATATTCCTTTAGAACCAGGATCTTGTAACGTCTATTTTCTATTGTTATCTGTAGAACAAATATTTTAACCTACCCGATAAAAACTTATTTCAATCCCGGAAAACGTGACTTCTTAGATCTTAAATCCGTGGTATTCTAATTTCAAAATATATTTGTTAATATAATCCTTAAAATCGTAATTGCTTTTATCCCCCTATAAACCGTAGTATTTGAATTCTTAAAAAAAAACAAAAAACTGTACTTAAATCTCTCAAAAACGGAGCTATTTTAATTCAATAAAAAACTCTTTCATTCTAATCCGTCAAATAAGATAAAAAAAAAGCAGACCGGTGAGAAACGTTAATAAATCACAAATAATAAATGAGAGAGGATAAAAAAAATGAGAATATATTATAGGAAATGGTTGGAAGAAATCCAGGAGTTTTAATTTAACCTTCGGGATTACAGAGAATAGTATTTTTGAGTTAGTGCCAAACTACGCAGATTTTTAAAAGAAATCTAGTGAGAGAATTATATTAGTAAGTATTCAGCTACGAAGTGCGATAAATATCAAAAAATGTCAAGATGTACAAAATTGAGGGCTGTGATAAATATGAATTGACGTAAATAGATTGAGATGCTGATAGAAAAAGAATGTGACAGATGTAAAATGACTGAGATAGACATACATACACACAGACGGGTAAATATGAACAGTGTGAGATAGATAGATATGAACAGACTTAGAAATGTTCCAGTTTGTCATATTTTCTAGATAGATAGATAGATAGATAGATATGAACGGACATAGATATTTACCAGTTTGTCATATTTTTCTAAATAGATAGATAGATAGATAGATAGATATAAACAGACTTAGATATTTTCCTGTATGCCATATTTCTCTAGATAGATAGATAGATAGATAGATAGATAGATAGATAGATAGATATAAACAGACAGATATTTACCAGTTTGTCAGATTTTTTCTAGATAGATAGATAGATATGAAGGGACATAGATATTTAACAGTTTGTCATATTTTTCTAGATAGATAGATAGATAGATAGATATAAACAGATTTAGATATTTTCCTGTATGTCATATTTTTCTACATAGATAGATAGATAGATAGACAGACAGACAGACAGATAGATATAAACAGACATAGATATTTACCAGTTAGTCATATTTTTCTAAATAGTTAGATAGATATGTTATAATAGATAGATAGATAGATAGATAGATAGATAGATATAAACAGACATAGATATTTACCAGTTAGTCATATTTTTCTTGATAGATAGATAGATAGATAGATAGATAGATATAAAAAGACATAGATATTTACCAGTTAGTCAAATTTTTTTCTAAATAGAGAGATAGATAGATAGATAGATAGATAGATAGATAGATAGATATGAACAGACTGAGAAAGAAAGAAAGAAAGAAAGAAAGAAGTAAGTATTATTTGCAAGTACAGGGTACGGCACGGATATTTCTCCATCTTTTAAACATAAATTGAAACATAACTACTTGTAAAACTAGTTTCAAAATTTACATAATTCTTCCAATCGTTCTTTTGCTTTACTAGTTGTCTGAAAATGGCTGGCATTAAGAATTGTGTTGTGATGAAGCAGATGAAGATTTATAGATAAATATTTTTTTTAATTTGGGCAAAAAGTTTCAAGGGGATCAAGCAACCTCACCCGATCCATTTCCAGGAAGGAACCGTTCAGTTCCTGCCAGGAGAGCCATTGATGGGGTCAAGAAGAGGATGAAGAGAAATCCTCGAAAAAAACATGAGAAAGATCGAAAAAGAGCTGCATACTTCGGATAGGTCGTTAAGAAGGACTGGGAAAGAGTATTCAGGGCTAAAACCACCCAAGAATCAACGGTGACGCTGCTCTCAACTGCCTCCAAATAAAAATGGCTTGACAGAGGGAAGAGAAAGTTGAAGGAAATGCCGAGTGCCACAGACACATTCTCTTGTTGGACGAGACTACCAAAGTAACAGGCTTTACGACACTTCACCAAGAAACATTCCCGAAGGTGTCACAACACATTTCAAGAGACAGAATCCAACTGCTATCATGGTTTGGGTTGCTGTTATTTCTAATAGTTTGAAATCGCCCTTGGGGTTCATTGAAGAAGGGGTGAAAGTGAATAACAGAGTTTACCAGCAAATGTTAGAGTGAGACGTGTTACCCTGGTTGCCAGCCACAGTTGAAAGTCGTTCGAGACGTAGCTCCTGAATACGCGGCAAATTTGATGCAAAACTGATGCAAGAGATATTTTGACATGTCAATTTAGCCTCCATCAGGCTCTGATATTAATCCTATAGACATTGCGGTACAGCTCATATTGGAGGGTGACGTTTTACGTATCTCGTGTGTCAGACTTGAAATAAGCTCTTATGACGTCGTGGTACAATTCCAGCGAAGAAGTAGTTATTCATTTCAAATGAGAAGAGATTAAGGGCCATGGTGAAAGCAAAGGCCGACGATTTATGTTGTAAATACATGTAAAATATTGTCAATAAATATAACAATCAACCTGTAAACCAAAACCTAAAAATTTTATTTCATGATAAGATGAATAATGAGTAAATATGGCGTTATATAGAAATATACAACTATCTCAGCCATTAGGTCGACCTACAGAAAGGCGGAACTGAAGTGAAATAAATACCGATATATTATGGACAGTGATATACGAAGCGACGAGAACAAATGTTATTTTTTTTCCACACCTGACTCACGCTTAACTTCTTGTGTCTTCTAAATCTTTAAATAATTTTACCGGGTAACGTTTTTGCAGAAATTCTCATTTATTTCTTCACTTTCAATTTATTTTTTCTATTTACTCTTTACTTCTATTTTCTTTCTGTCTTTTTCTTCCTTTCTTTTTTCTTTCTTTCTGTCTTTTTCCTTCTTTTTTTCTTTATTTTTCATCTTTCTTTTTCTTTCTTTTCTCTTTCTTTCTGTCTTTTTCCTTTTTTTTTCTTTATTTTTCTTTCTTTTCTTTTTCTTTTTTTTTTCTTTCTTTCTGTTTTTTCCTTCTTTTTTCTTTATTTTTCATCTTTCTTTTTCTTTTTTTTTTTTTCTTTTTCTTTCTGTTTTTTTTCTTTTTTATTTTATTTTCATCTTTCTTTTTCTTTCTTTTTTCTTTCTTTCTGTCTTTTTCCTTCTTTTTTTTTTTTATTTTTCATCTTTCTTTTCTTTCTTTTTTCTTTATTTCTGTCTTTTCCTTCTTTTTTCTTTATTTTTCATCTTTCTTTTTTTCTTTTTTTTTCTTTCTTTCTGTCTTTCCTTTTTTTTTTTTTTTTTTTCATCTTTCTTTTTCTTTCTTTTTCTTTCTTTCTGTCTTTTTCCTTCATTTTTTTCTTTTATTTTTCATCTTTCTTTTCTTTTCTTTTTTCTTTCTTTCTGTCTTTTCCCTTCTTTTTTCTTTTATTTTTCATCTTTCTTTTTCTTTTCTTTTTCTTTCTTTCTGTCTTTTTCCTTCATTTTTTCTTTATTTTTCATCTTTCTTTTTTTTTTTTTTTCTTTCTTTCTGTCTTTTTTCCTTCTTTTTTTTTTCTTTATTTTTCATCTTTCTTTTCTTTCTTTTTTTCTTTCTTTCTGTCTTTTTCCTTCATTTTTTTTTTTATTTTTTTCATCTTTCTTTTTCTTTCTTTTTTTTTTTTCTTTCTGTCTTTTTCCTTCTTTTTTCTTTATTTTTCATCTTTCTTTTTCTTTTCTTTTTTCTTTCTTTCTGTCTTTTTCCTTCATTTTTTTCTTTTATTTTTTCATCTTTCTTTTTCTTTCTTTTTTCTTTCTTTCTGTCTTTTTCCTTCTTTTTTTCTTTATTTTTCATCTTTCTTTTTCTTTCTTTTTTCTTTCTTTCTGTCTTTTTCCTTCATTTTTTTCTTTATTTTTCATCTTTCTTTTTCTTTCTTTTTTCTTTCTTTCTGTCTTTTTCCTTTTTTTTTTCTTTATTTTTCATCTTTCTTTTTCTTTCTTTTTTCTTTCTTTCTGTCTTTTTCCTTCATTTTTTTCTTTTATTTTTCATCTTTCTTTTTTTTTTTTTTTTCTTTCTTTCTGTCTTTTTCCTTTTTTTTTTCTTTATTTTTCATCTTTCTTTTTTTTTCTTTTTTTTTTTCTTACTGTCTTTTCCTTCTTTTTTTTTTTTTTTTTTCATCTTTCTTTTTCTTTCTTTTTTCTTTCTTTTATTCTCTTTCTTCTTTCTTTCCTTTTTTTTCTTTCTTCCTTCTTTTCTTCTTTCTTTCTTTCTTTCATTCTTTCTTTTTTCTTTATTTTTCTTTCTTTACTTCTTTCTTTCTTCTTTATTTCTTTTCTTCTTCCTTTTTTCTTTCTTTTTTTTCTTCTTTTTCCTTTTCGTTTTTCCTTCTTTTTTCCTTTTCGTTTTTCTTTCTTTCTTTCTTTCTTTCTTTTTTTCTTTCTGAAACTTTCTTTTTTCTTTGATTATTCTTTTTCTTTTTAATTTATATTTTATTCATTTTTTCTTGTTTTTGTGTTTATATTTACTTACCATTTCTTCCTTATTTCGGGAGTTTTTATTCGTTTCTTTTTTTTTCTTTTACTTATTTTTTTTTCTTTCTTCTTAGCGTCTCCATTTTTTATTTGTTTATTTAATTCTTTTTTCTCATCTTCTTCAGTCGCCTTTTCTTTGTTCGTTCTCTTTCTATCTGCCCATCTACCTCAGTAAATTTCTATCTATCTATCTATCTATCTATCTATCTATCTATCTATCTATCTATCTATCCTTCTGCTTAACTCAATTCTCTTCATCTATCTATCTATACTTCTGTTTTACGCTACTCCTTTCATCTATCTATCTATCTATCTATCTATCTATCTATCTATCTATCCCAATTTATTTATTCCCATCTCGTTCTATTCACATATATCTATCTATCTATCTATCTATCTATCTATCTATCTATCTATCTATCTATCTATCTATCTATCCCAATTTATTTATTTCTATTCACATCTATCTAGCGAGCTAGCTATCCCAATTTCTTTTTTCTTTCTATCACAATTTCTTCCCCTCTCTCTCTCTCTCTCTCTCTCTCTCTCTCTCTCCCCTCCCTCCCTTCCTTCCTCCCTCTAACTCGCTTCTTCTTTCTTCCAGATTTCTCGCGCTCTTTCTCGATTCATATGTCTCACTATCTGACCTTACTCTCATTTATAGACAGACACACTTTCCTTTTCTCTCATTCCCTCCTCGCCCTATCTCCGCCTCTTCCTCACTTTTTCTCCCTGATTCCTTTACTCATTTCTTACACTTTTCATCTCACTACTTCTCTCTCCCACTCTCATTCTCACTTTCTTTCACCTTCCATTCCATTCTCTTCTCTCGTTTTCTCCCAACACAATCTCATAATTTATTCCTTCCCCTCTCTTTCTGCATCAATTTCTTCTCCTCCCACTCCTCCTTCAGCACTTTCACTGTATCTAACATTCTCCCTCTCTCTCTCCCTCTCTCATTTGAAGCTTATCTCTTTCTAACCTTTTCTCTCACCACATCTCTCTCACACACATTCTCAGTGCATCTTTCTTCCACTTTTTCCACCCACCCTGCACCTTTTCTCTTTCTCACTCAATCTCTCTCACACACACACACTCTCCCATTCTATTTTTTCACCTTTTTTCTCTCTTTTTGTCCATTTTCTGCCCAAATTCCCCCACTGCTTTTCACCACCACATACAAAATCCCGCTTCTTACAAATTTATAGCAAAAATGTTACCCTAATTATGTTATTACAGAGGTCTATCTATCATTACGGGCCATGAATTCTCGTTTTTCTTCTCATATCTTAGCAAAACTAAAAGATGCGTCTTGTTCACGCGTTCGTCCGTGAAAATACTTGCACTCGTTCTTCTACGAACAAATTTCTTGCTTGCCTGCCTCCATTGTTGTAGTCAAATATTGCGCTTGTTGATTGGCTGTTAAGAAAAGAAAATGGGATGTGTGCGCATGCGTGAGCTTAGGCGTATGAGAGTCATCCAGGCGTGTCGTGAGTTCGCCCTTTTTTGTGCACGATTACATGATACGCAGCAACACTTTAAAAAAAAATGCTCCAGTTATAAATATAGGAATATACAGATGTGTACGCCTGTCGCAGAGTCATAGGCTTGTATTCACTAGCGAAACGAGTTCGAATTTCACTGGGTACACCATTAATAAGATCTTGAATCAGAGCTGAGCTGAGTATATACATAATAAATATATCGGAACTTGTATATATCAATGTATAACTACATCTCTCTCTCTCTCTCTCTCTCCCTCCCTCTCTCTCTACATACATGATAAAAGTCATAGACACGGAGATTAATGGTATGTTGTTTTTGGTTAATTCTTATTGCTTAGATACGTGTAATGGTGTAACAGATAATATTCAAATATGTGTGAGACGCAGTAGGATGTTTTTAATATATATATATATATATATATATATATATATATATATATATATATAAGTGAAAATTGAAGTCAACACTCAGAGGCGACAGGCTGTCCATGCTGGACGAAATTGTCAGGCAACCCGCCGATTGCATCTAGCATGAAACATCCTGTCGCCTCTGAGTTTTGACTTCACTGTTCACTCTTCTATATTTATATTTACCTACGCTCTATATCTGATATTGAGCACTTTATCCCATAAATATAGCACGCCTTAAAAGTATACTTCTTCATATATATATATATATATATATATATATATATATATATATATATATGATGGACTGAGCCGTCGATTTCGTATCGATGTACGATGATGCGATAACCTCATTCAGTTTTTGTTTGTGTCGTATGTAACACTTCAGTCCCTCTTGTGACTTGCATACAAGTCTACATATTGTGCAACAACGAGGCTCTCTCTCTCTTTCTCTCTCTCTCTCTCTTCTATCTCCCTGTATATATATATATATATATATATATATATATATATATATATATATATATATATATACAAGTATATGATTGGTGTATACGGAATAAATTCAAATAACTAACAATTACTATTAAAAAAAAGAGTGCTCAATACAGAGTAGAGCGAATATAATTATTTATTTAAAAATTATAACATAAATATGTTATAAAATCACTACAAAAATAGCCATTTTGTTTGAACACCTCTGGTATCTTATCAAGTGATAATGTTGAATGTAGATTTTAGAATAAAGGTTTTAAAAGGTTCAAATTAATCAACCACCCCTCGTAAGGGAAAACGCTGTCACATGAGATTAATGGACCAATCAAAATACAAGTATACGAGAATTCAAAAAACTTGACAACGATGTAAGGTTATAATAACTATTAAATACTTTAAAGTTAGGTTTATACTAAAATAGAATTTATTCTAACTAATAAGGATTAAATTGTACGATAAAATTTTAAATTAAAATTAAAAACTATCCATTTCAAAGATGTAAATTTAATCTATATTAAGTTTAAAATTTTAAAATTATTGAGGAAAAAATACATATGTTATTCTATTCATTTTGTTTCTATTGAAATTACGTTGGAATAAATAATTATATATATATATATATATATATATATATATATATATAATGAAAAAACAGACCACTTTAAGGTACCATTTTCAATAATTTATTTCACCAAAATCTTTTTTGAAGGACTCCGGATCATCAGGTAACACTTCCAACAACGAAATGAAAGGAAAAATGGGATTAGAAATTGATGGGTAGTGTAATTTTTGTAATTTAACAGGGAGGGTGAGAGTTGTAGTTAACGAGACAAGGGAGAGTGTAGGGAGGGTTAAATTTCATATTTCTCTTAAGCATGTTTTATATTGGGGTAGGAGGAGTGACCTAATCGTGACCTATTTAGATGGTTAACTTAATGGAAATGATATATAGGAATGGAAGAAGTGGGGGGAAAAGAAAAGGAAAAATGGAAAGGAGATAGACAACAGTAATACAGATATATCTAAATGAGTGTTAGGGCAAAGAGAGAGGGGGAGATGGAAGTGAATCGAAAAGGCTGTAATTTTGGAATTACCCATTCGGTTTACCAAGTTCTTCGTAACTTAAAATATATATATATATATATATATATATATATACGTGGGCTAAAGAGGGAGAGAAATCGAGAGAGATATACTATCAAATATATTTGATAATATATATATATATATATATATATATATATATATATATATATATATATATATATATATATTCCTTGTATGGGAAAAATAAGAACATTAACAAGAATGAATTGAATGGATTTTACAAGTTTTTTTTTGTTTTTGTTTTTTTTTATTTCTTTTTTTTACCAGACATTAACCATGTTTTTCTAAATTCTCAAAATGCTTATCTGAAATGAAACTTTATAATGGCTTTGAGTCGGGTAATTGAAAAACGTTCGAATGATTTCAATTTTTCTCTTCATTTCTTGTTCGGATAATGAAAGCCCGGAAAATCGGCATAAAGATAATCAAGGATGAACGAGTTGAACGAGTTCTGATGAGGCTATATAAGAACACAACGTCGGTCTTTAGTTCAAAGAATTGTTTTTATCTATCTATATATAAAATTCCATTAGTCTGTCCGTCCGTCACACCTTCTAAAATAGCCATTCGATCATACCGATCGGAACCAAATTTAGTGGAGAAGTGCAAACAGGTAAGGAAATACAAAATACAGTTGTTTTTTTTTTCTTGGGTGTATAGCTTAGTATTATAAATATTCATTTTTTTTATCGGGTGTATAGCTTACTATTATAAATATTCATTTTTTCTCGGGTGTATAGCTTAGTATTATAAATATTCATTTTTTTCTCGGGTGTATAGCTTACTATTATAAATATTCATTTTTTTCTCGGGTGTATAGCTTACTATTATAAATATTCATTTTTTTCTCGGGTGTATAGCTTAGTATTATAAATATTCATTTTTTTCTTATTATTGAAAAATATACAAAAATACAAAATACATCCATTATTTTAAAAATAATTTAATGATTAAAATAACAAATACTTATTTAATAATAATGCAATATTGTTTTTTGCATATCTTTTCTTCAAGTTGTACACACACACACACACACACACACATATATATATATATATATATATATATATATATATATATATATATATATAAAATAGGAAGGAACTGGTTAGGTAAATAATCCAAAGTTCCTTAGTATTTTAGTTATTATTTTAAAAATATTCCTCGATACAAAAGTAGAGCATAAATATGATTATTTATTTAAAAATATGATTCCAACTCGCGACATAAGAGGTCTCATGTTTCAAAAAACAAGAGCCAAAAAACTTCAATATAATTATTTGAATTAAATTGAGTTAAAAGTAAGCTCTGTTCCATCTTCAAGCGAACTTTTCTTTGGAATAACGTATTTCTGAAATTTACGTGTTTTACTGCATTCTTATATATATATATATATATATATATATATATATATATATATATATATATAAGAATGCAGTGTCCAGTTCGCCCTGCGTTTGCAAGAACTATAAACAAATCACTAAGGCCAAATTCTTCAAAATGTTGGAATTTGGCTCCAGAATTAAGTATTTACGCATATATATTACGTTGCATGCTCAAATGTAAGAAATTCTAAGAAATTATTTTTTCGCTGTTATAAAGGAAAAAGGAAAAAAAGTAATTTTCTTTAAAAAATATTGTTTACCATGAAGTCCTATAAAATTAAATTAAATTACAGAAATTATTAAACCGCGGAGTAGGGCTTTTTTTTATGTATTTTTCTAGACAAATCAGCTTATTCAAATTTCATCGATTGGTATGTGAAACTGAACGAAACGTAGAGTTTGTAAATCTTGACAAAAAATGTTAACAATAACTTCAACGATACTAAATATTGTGGTGATTTCAACACGCTAACGCTTGCTGTAAACATTCTAGTAGATAAAATCTCAAGAATATTCAACTGAAAATATAACAAAACAATTTCAGATTACTTAAATAGAACTGTAATCTTCTCACAGTGT